TTTTTTTTTTTTTTTTTTTTTTTTTCATTTGTACAATAGTTAACGCGATCGGCTTTCTTTTATTGGACCGACTCCCCTGCGACCCTTTTTTTCCTTTGCTGTGACGAGCTCTGTTGCGATTTACGAGAGCTTTGTGCCGGATTCTTATTTTTCTTGGTCTTTCTTACCGAAACAAGTGATCGGGTGTGATTTTATTTTCATATAGAGAGCGACGGTCTCTTGTAACGCTATGCAAATTCTTTGGTAGTCTTTCGGTGGGTTTATTATCGCTGGTTGGGATTTCGCGTTATATTCGCATTAATGTCTCTGGGTATTGACGTATGTATTTTAACGGGTATGACATTTTGTGGGGATTTCAATAACGATGTATTTTGTAGTCACGAGTAATGACGGTTGTATAGTCTTTTCGTAGAGCGTATATAGGTATAGCAGAGACATTGCTTGTTACTTAGGATCTAAAATTTTAATGCCGATTGAAAATCTTTTATCAAGGAATTTTAACAAGAACATTATTTCACAGATGGCAGATCGCCTGATGAATCAGAGATTTCTAAAGTTTGAAAAAATTTGTTTTGTAGGACGAACCAATCACTTTTTTTTTTTTATTTTTTATAAAATGTATCAGTCCATTCGTTAAGTGTAAGAAAATCTTTTGTATGACTGTCCTTTGAAAATTTCATAGTTCCGCTATAGAAATGTTAAATAAAAAAGCAGATCTAACTAGTCGATGTCTCTTACGGGTTCAGCGACGTGAAATTCGTATGAAACTAGTCGAGCAATCTAAAGGCAAAACGCAATACCGAGTGTGCTCCGGTTTTACCGAAAAATGTCGGATGCTTAATCTCGCTGGTTTGTCATATCTTATGGAAATTTTTATGGACAGTTTTATCGGTCGCAGCCTTTAATTTCTAGCGTCCGCTCAGGAATCCGCAGCCGTAAATCACGCGTCGCAGCCTCGGTGGGCGCGAATCTTGTCGGAGAAAAAAATCTGGACCGGTAAAAGTGAGCGCTATCCTACTGCTCATTGAGAACGCCACAAGTAGAGTGAGTTAAAAGTACGAGTACGACTTTAATGTCGCTCCCTCTCTCTCTATCTCTATCTCTCTCTCTATCTCTCCCTCTCCCATATCCCTCTTGAACATTCTCCGTATACCGATCTCTAACCGTCCTCCTCATTCTCTAGGACCAACGTGTCCAAATTCACCCACGCTTGACGTGTCACCGCCATTAGCTTACACGAAGCATATATGACGTGACTTTTGGTTGGCCTCAAAGATGCATCAGGAAATGCGTCACTCGTAAATTAGCTGCTTGTGAATCGCACGGAGAGGGGATAATTTTTTGTTCTGGCAAATAGTTTGAGTAAACGATAGTTGATAGTCGAGTCAAGAATGGGGTCAATAGTTGCAGCAGGGTCGAGGGTCGAGTCAGGTAGATCGAGCGTGAAATATCGAATTGCGCGTCTCTCGTTCCAGTTGGCAAGTTTCATCGACGCGAGGAGGGCGAAGGAACGAGCGCATAGCTGAAATCCGGCAGAGGGCCGATCTTTTTGTAAATTCCCGTCTGACCGAATCAATTCTGTAAAATGTGATCGAGATATCGGGTATTTATAAGAGGTGCGTGGAAATGGGGCAAGTCCTAGTGGCGAGGATGATACGTGACATGGAGTGCTTTGAGTGTGTTTGAGGAGAGGCTGAAGGGGTAGGAGGGCGTTGGAGGCTGCCAAGGGCAAATCCTCAAAAGCCCTGAGATAATGGACGCTATTCAGGTCGATCCTGGCAGGACTAATCACGCGGACAGTGAGAAGATTGTGAAGATACCGAAGAGCCCGACGAAGTACGTCTTTAAACCGGAAGTCGTAAAGTCCTCGCCAAATAAACACGAGAGGGGCAATCGTGAGAGGAATTTGCCAAAGACTCTGCTCCTGGGACAGGCATCGTCGAAAGGACTCAAGGGACTCTTCGTCAGAGGTACGAGGTTCATTGGCGAGAAGAGTCCTGAGAATAACGTGGGCCGGAAGCGGAGTCAGTCGCTCTTCGTATCCCGCGATTCCAAAGAGTTCGACAGGCACTTTGAGTGCGACGCACTCAGAGGTAAAAGACACGAGGGACACGAAGGGGGTGAAAGGAGTCAGGATGGCAAACGGGATAAAAATGAGGATCGATACGGGAAGGGAACCGGTAGGCCAGACAGGAAGTTCGAAAGAAACGGAGATCAGTGCTGCGCGCGAGGCAGGAGTCAAATTTCGAAATCAAGAAGCCAAGGGGAACGCACGCCAGAGTCACATAGTCCCGGTGGATGTTCTCAGGGTAAAAGGAAGAACGGCAAGTTCAGCTACGGACCGATAAGTCCGACCGACAGTCACGACCTAGTCAGACCTCAGGACGGGAGGCAGCACGAGATCAAAGGTGGAAAATCGTCGTTTGACAGAAACGGAAATCCTCAAAATGGTAGAAATTCGCCGCGATATCGTATCAAAAGTTCGAGAAGCGACAGAAACTCTCCCAAGGGTTCTGCTCCTTCGAAGCTGGATAAGATCTCGCCAAGATCAGGCTCACCCTTCGCTACGACCAACCACATGGATCGTCTGTCGCCTAGCCACGAGGAGGACGCGCGGAAATACTCTAATAGGTCATTCCAAGATGGCGCCAAGAAGTGTCCCAGGTGTGAGAGTTTCAGTGAATCGCCTTATCCGGCCAGCCAGTACCCTTTCCGGCCGGAGTACTTCGAGACTGGTCGAGACTCTCCTGACGACGATCACTCGAAGAGGTACTTGTTCGAGCAGCGACAAGAAACCCCAGTAGCATCTCTTCTCTATCGAAGTAGATCGTTACCACAGTTGTCGGTCCACGACAGCGGCGTCGGCAGCAACGAGCAACCTCCCGGAAGACCTACTTCGAGGCTGGTTGCTGATCTGCGGCAACTACTCACTCTGAAGCAACACTATTACCCTGAGGGCGGGTGGGGTTGGGTCGTGCTCGTTGTGGGAATCCTAGTTCAGATTTTGTCACACGGGATTCATGGCGCTGCAGGAATTTTTCTTCAGCAAGTGGCTGCGCGCTTCGGTCCTCAAGCCTACTTGCAGTCAGGTTAGTCATCAAGTTTATCCCACTAATTACGCAATCGCGATAAGACTATGTCCTAGCGTAATACCCAAAAATTTACATCCAATCCTTGAATTTTATCTCGAAAAACTATAAAAACGACAATCGTCCCGCGGTCGGTGACGTCACTCGGGCATAAGCGAAAGTCATTCTGATTGCTGATGAAGAAGTCATCAGGCAGTACGGTAATCTGGCGGAGCGTCTTGATGATAAGATTACACAGGACGCAGTACCTACCGTAAGATGTTAAGACGGATCATGGGGATGTGTACGCTCTGGATCATAAAATCTTCCCGAGTCAACAGCCTCTTGACGTCGTGTACTTTCGGAGGAGAGGACTCAATTTTTTCCATTTGTCCTTCCGTCCATTCTTGTACCGACGGGTACAATTGTTGGCTCTTATCCGCTAATGGGATCTTTATTGCTCGCCTGTGGTTTCCACTGTCAATGCTTCGTTCGGTAGGTACGGTACAGGCTGGATAGAAAAAATGTATTGATAATATAGTATACGTACCTAGTCCAATTCCATCGTAGCTCGTTGCATTTATATATCACGTGCACATTTACATACATGTGATGCAACATGCAACCTGTCCCCTAACGTGTCTCCTATGATCCCCAGTGCAGTTGTCGCACTTACGCTTTATTAATGACGTATACCCTCCCTAACGACCTCCTGAACTCTACAGGTGGCTAACCATTCCAGTGTGCCAGCCAGCAGAGCATAGACCATCCCGTGGCTCATAAACAACCGGAACGTCGATTCCGCGTGGTTCTCTCGAGTGAAATACGATTCCACCAAGACCTTTTAAGGAACGACCCACAAACTGAGGAACGTGCTTAATTTTCTTATTTCGCTCATTCACACTTTCGACTGGACCCGCACGGCTAGAATCGTATAATATGATAAATCGCGTGGAAAAAGAATGAAATAAGGATATAGGGTATTTGTTTTTTTTAGGGCAATTTTTTTTGCGATGCCAAAGTATCGATTTCTCGACATTGCTTGGATGGAATTTATATATCGATTTGTAATTCGTGGACGATGGCAGATTGAGATATCACTGGAGATCAATATTGATACGCGGTCTATGTGTCACGGGTGCTTAGAGACACCCAGTTTCTTTTTTACTTCGTTATTTAGATCTGTGTTTTACAAGGGTGCTCGAGCTAACGATGCGGGCGTAACGTACATTGGTTACATGCAACTTTCACTATTGCGACCAGACAGTCGCGAGTTCGTCCCTCTCATTTATTTTTGTCAATATATTCAGAGGCCGTTATTAAAAAATACAAAGATGGGTCGAACGGACGAATAAATTTCACAGAGGAAGATTATTATCGTAGGTGAATCATTGGTAGCGAGAAACCGTCAAACTCCGAAACGTTCTAATTTCTTTTAACCGATCTGTCTTCTTCGGTCTTCTCGAATCTGACGGTGCGTTCACAATGACTACAATGGGATCGAATCGAATGAACGTCAGTGCGTACTACTTTGACTGACAGGACTCGAAATTTCCTAAAATCAAACTCAAAATCCCAATGACAATTGTAAAATTCATTGTACGATCAACTTGATGTCAAAATTTGTCCCAGTGACGTCACTACCTCGCTATTTCGATCAATCGACATTCCTCAGTGCCCAGTCATCCATGCGGAAGTCACGAAAATATAATTGAAACTTTTAATCAATGAAAAAACAATTTTTATCCAAAGAATTTCTATCTCGGCTCTCAACGTCAGTTACGATCCTCGTAGAAATTATACCGAAGCCCAATTTCTATAGATACGCACGTAATTCGCACCTTGGAGAAAAGAAAGTGGAGGTCAGCTGATCCTGTCGATGAATCGATCACAAGTCAATAGACTCGTCAATCGAACGTCAATCGTTCAAAAAGTCCCATTCGGACGAGCAGTACAAACTCTCTCGATGCTACGCGTACAACAGCACAAAGTTGACTGTCAGCAATCAAAAAATGTACAAGCATAAAATTTCTACGAGAATTTGAAAAATATTTCGAAATCTAAGTAAAAAAAATTGCCTTGAACTAAAAATTTGATATTAAAAAATAATTACCTAGAAATCTCACATCAATAGGAAAGTTCGTGCTTAACGACACTTATCGGTAAAGTTTCTCGTAGCCAAGTTCAGAATGACTGTACGTGTCTCTCGGTTGTTTCTGTAAGCACCTCTGCCATTTCCTCGCCGTTACGACGCTTAAGGAAATGGCGGACGGTTCTCGCGGATTTCCCTAAGAAGGTAGTGTCACGTCTATAGTATCGTACACGATCGTGTCCGATCTCATAACGGTCTCCGACGGCCAAGTCTAACAGCGGTAGGTGAATCGCCCCAAGCTGAAATCAAGTTGTACCACAAAACGATCGACAATCCAGTCATAAGGAAGGAAGAGTAGGGAAGAACTTGCTTGGCAAGTCGGCAGATAGTGGTCTTGGGATAAGCTAAATTTCACGTATTAAACTTAGCCAAGAGAAGATCGCGTATTGTATTTCGTATTGGATCGTCACTGGGAAATTGAAATATTGTTTGTACGACTGGGACTACGAGCTGAAGTGTAAAGTTGATTGCTCGTGGTTTACTTTGACTTGTCGAGATGTACGCTACAACGTGGAGGCCCGAAGGAACGATTGTCTTGGCGATCGATAGAGAAGGTCGGAGATCGATTGATTTATATCGATCGGATCTAGCGAGGGTCAAGGGCGTCGTTTTACTCCTCGGCCGTTTACGAACGGGTCAAATGTATTTGGGTATAGCTATATACAGCATAGACGGATAATACGTACATGTACAAGGTTGGAATTGTTTTTCGAGGTTATGTTCGTTTCAATTTACACGGGACGAGTATGGGTTTGTCATACTTCTGATTTGGGCCGAACACGGAGCACGGGGAAAAATCGATCGCTTTGAAATTAGGATAAAGATGTCCTGCGGCATGAACTGTTCTTTGCTTAGCTCGCTCGCATTCTCTTGCGTAAACTAAAAGTGCACGTCATCAAAGATATCATGCGCGAACGTTCGATATGGACTTAAATATTGGGTAGCGTAACGCGACGAATCGAAGTTTCGATACGTGTCGATAAAAAAATATTGGCAAGACATTCTTAGCCTATTTACGATCTTATCGTCGACGGTCATCTCTGCTTGGTAGTCATGCGTTAAGAGGCCACCTATGGCTGTTTTTTATCTAAGTCATTTAATTAATCGTAATGACACTGTTAAGCACGTAGATGATACTTGGTGCAAAAAGAAATCTTTTTAAAAGTCAGATGACACGGACGAAAAATTTTTGAGCGAAAATATTGCGTTTTTTTTTTAACTGTAAATCGTATAGGTACAGCCGATATATGAGGTGATCTTCGGTCTTGTCGATTTTTAAAAATAGTCGTCGAGGATGAAAAATTGATTTGGATAAAACGGCCGAATAATGGCATGGAAAATTCTAAGAGAGGTTTGGGACTTCCAGAAAAAAAACCTTAGTTTAGTGACTATTGGTTTGCGTAACGAGATTTTCAAAGTTGCTGTCCACTAAGACTTGTTAAAGCCGTATATTGATTTTTCTAAGCGAACCAAATAAAAAATTCTAAGCCGATCAGGTAGGTTCGGTGTAAGAATTTCGGTAGTCGGATTATGATCGGTTGGATGGCAGAACTCGTCGTGTCGTGTAATCTGGGTAGCGGAACAGTAAAAGGCATCGATGTACTGAATTAACTATAAACCGATTGCCGATCATTCAGTTTCGATCATTAATTGAAACATTCGTCCAAGCAAGCCGTCAATGCAATGACACAATCGGCTTGATATCTGATAGAATTTTTATACAATGATTTTTTTTTCATTTTTATAGTATTTTTCGGCCAATATCTTTTCTTACTGTTTTTATGCGATCGACTCGCGACGCTTTCACGTCACTTGAATAAATCGCTGGTCCAATAGCTCAGGAGGCTGCAACGAGAATTCCACCCAATCGAAAGGAACGTCACGTTCGGACTGCCAATAAATATTGCCTACCCTTTCTTTCTTATTCTTTTTTATACCCGCTGTCCTTCTTGTCGAATAAAAAAAAATCGAATAAAGCCAAACAACACGTGGCATAACATATGAAAATTTTCTCCTCTACGGTATTTCACTTTGAAATGAAAATATATATAATATATAATATATATATATTATATATAATATACGTATATGTTAATAGGAAAAATACGTCGGAAACGTCTATGCGAAAATGGATGTCGAAAATTTCCTTAAAAAATATTGTCTCACGAACGATCGATCATTTCGATCGAAATCTTATAGCGACGTCAATTGTCACTGGATGAACGATTTTCTTAACTTTCCCACGTTAAATAACAACGAGCTTTCAGTTTCTATACGGCGATAAGGGATATCGTCGAATTTGCCGAAAGAAGTTTCTAAGCATTTCGGTGCTTAGTTAAAGGGATACGTGGTGTATCGGGTGTCGTTTGCGGAATGCAATTTTCTATTTTCTTTCGTTGCGCTGGTCGCTGATCCGATAATACAAACTTTCCACTCTGCCCTGCGGAAGAAAAGGGGCGCCGTTTTATTCTCTTGCTGTGTCGTTCCGGCGACATTCTTTGAAGATGGTAGCGACGTGTCTACAATGAGAGGAAAAAAACTGAGGAAAAAAAAACGGATGCATTTATCTGCATCAATTTTATTTCTTCTTTTTACCCTCATTCACCACATTTTTCAACACTTTTTTTTCGTATTAGTTTCACAACTAAAATTTTTTTCGCTGCCGGCCATCGGAATTGCATACCATGATCAAAATAATTACGGGATATTAATTACTCGTTTTAATTGCACTCTTAAAAAAATTACTAATTGTTGATTATTCGTGGTACGTGCAGCTGGTAAAGTTTAATTTTAACCAACGTTACGGTTATTAGTAATTGGCACTGTTAGCTGATATATCAATATCCGTATATGTCTTATATGAACATCT